GTAGTTCCTAGGCAGGAGGCTGTGGTGCCCACTAGGGAGCCATGAAGGTGAAAAGTCCCCATTTCTCAAAGCCAACTTCTGTCTTCCTTCCCGAATCAAGCACAACTTGCAACTGTGATGACCTTTTAATCAAGTATATATTGAAGGGTCTGGAGGAAGAAGGGGACGGGAAAGAGCAGAATCAGGCCTTGTGCCTTGCTTGGGCATCTTGCTCCCTTGACCTGCAGAGGGGTGACAGGGCAGTGCCTGGGTTCTGTGGCCACATGGAGGCTCCCTGCATCTTTGGAGGGTGTCCTGAGTTACTCCTCCCTGCAGAGTAATGAGTTTTCTCTCCTCCTACTCCTGCGTCTTGCAAATTCTGTTGTCATCTGCTGACTGTCAGTGGCTTTCCTCTGCCCATTTTCTGCTGGCAGAGGGAGGCTTGAGTCCACTCTGAGGAGGGGTGAGGCTGGAGAGTGCTGGGGAGCAGGGAGTACAGAGGCTCCCACTGCAGTCTGGGGCTGATTTCTCCTGAACCATCAGCAATCAAATCCGCCTCACCACTGTGAGAATTAATTCCTTCTCAAACTCCCTTTCAGATAGGTGAGAAATCCGTGTGCCTCCTATTAACATAATTGTGACCCCGTTTCTTGTGAAATGACAGCGCTGGTCTGATTATGCTCAGGGAGCATCCACAGTCTGTGTCCTGTGCTGCGTGATGAAAGCTTCCTCACATTAGCTGGCAAATGAACAGTCCCACGGTACACACGGTCTCTGGAATCTGCAGACAATGACCACGTTTTATCTCAGCCATAGGATGGGGTCAAGAAGTTCCAGTGTAGCCCACCACAGTTAGTTAAGTACATGCCCAGCGCATTTAAAATGAGGGGAGTAGGAGCTCTGCACAGGCATGGCTGGAAGAACAGTAGGCTTGGAGCTGGGGGGCCTGGGCCCAGCCTGCCATTTGCTAACTGTGCTGTTGGGGTCAAATCCCTTCCTCGCAAAGAGAGCAGAGGGCTGGTCCATTAGACCTGACACTTGCTGATTCTAGGCTATCACTGAGTACAGCCTTAGAACCTGTAAACTGGGTTCCCATTTTCTGTGTTGGAAGAAGGGTCTAGAAAGCTCTCTAGAAGAGAGAGTTAAGAAGCCAAATCAGTGGTTGGATAAAGTCCTTCCCTCAAAATACGACACTGCAGAAGGCACCAGAAGAGCTCTCCTCCCTGGAGGCAAGGCAGTGGGCTGAACTCAAAGCCTAGCCTGGCCATGTGCCTAGTTGGAGGCCCGTGGAAGGCATCTGGGACTGGGGATGAGACAGTGTGTCTGTTTCCTTGTTGAGTCACTCTTGCTCATCAAATATCTATCGAGCACTTCTGATGACCAAGTGGCATGATAGAGTGGAAAGAAGTCTATAGTCAGGGGAGCTCCACGTGCACCCAGCTTAATCACTAACTGGTGTGGGCCTGCACAGATGGCTCCTCACCCCAGCGATGTGGCCATGCACCCTACATGCCTCATCCTGCGAGGATGAATGAGGCAGTGTTCCTGACACAGAGTGGGACTCCCCCCATACCTGCCTCCTTCCCTCTCTCTGTGTACACAACAACATTTGAGACATCACAGAGGACATGAGGCCATTCAGAAAATGCCACTGTCTTTAAACATGAACAGACCCATGGCAGGGCAGCTAGTGTGTGTCCAGAAATGCCATTGCTGCAGAGCAGGAAGTAACCAGGGCCCCACGGCCTGGGGACTCAGAGGAGTAAGAGGCCTGAGCAGAAAGAGTTTCATGGATGGTGCTGAGTTGAGCCTGGAGTGGCTTGGCACTTGAAGAAGAAGGAAGAAAGATCATTTCAGGGCAGAGAACAGTTTGGGTCAATGCATGGGTGCACAGAAGCTCAGAAAAGAAAGCAAACCTGTGTGGTGGAGTGTGTGCAGGTGAACACTCCATACAAGATGGTATTTCTGTGCAGGCACATTGAGGGAGGGGTGTTTGGGTGCCAATGTTTTGAGCACTGGGGAGCACGGATAGCATCTGGGGGTGCTAGCCTCAGCTCTTCACTTATGGTGCAGTATGTTGGGGTAACCTTTTCTTCCCCATTCTTCTCCAGGACTAGACGCTGTTATTCAGTTCTCTGTTATTTTACTTTTCGTTAGCTCTTATGCAGTGCAGGAGCTGCACCCCCTTGGGGTTGGAATAGTTGTCCTCTTGTGACATTGTAAACCACCCATGCACCAGCCTTCCCACCCCCGTCTCTCTGTCTATTGTTCTCGGTAGTGCTTCTCTTCATCTCTGCACCATGTGTTTACTGCTTTCTGTTCCCCACATTAGAATCTCAGCTCTGTGAGGGTGGGGACCTCACTGCTGGGTGTGCTACTCTACCCAAAGCCCTTAGAGGACTGCAGAAACCAGTAGGCTTTTGTTGCATATCTGAAGAATCAGTGAGTGAATGGCAGTCGGATGGATGGCTCCTTGATCACCTGTCATGGGGAAGAATCACGTGGCAAGATGTCAAGTAATTCATCCAAGCCCAAATTCACATTCATTCAAGACCTTGCAATGCCCAAGGGTGGGTGGTAAATATTGTAGGATGCCCAGAGCTCCCAAGAAGATGATAAAAATGACCCTGAAGTTATGCTAAGGGCCACCCTGGCAGGCTGCCCCCTCCTGTGCCTCCTGATAATCATGTCTTGTTGTGGCGTGTTAACTGTCACGGTGATGGCAGGGCTGAACTGGACCTCTCACAAAGGGAGAGTGGGTTTTTCAGAGAGTCTAGGTTCGAATGAAGTCTTTTGAAATAAGATCGAGAAGGAGGATACTCTTTTCCCATGGTGTTGGTAGGTGTTAAGATATGTTAGTCCGTTTGCATTGCTAGCTGAGGCTGAGTAATTTATAAAGAAAAGAAGTTTATTTTTGCTCACAGTTCTTCAGTCTTTAGCACATGGCACTGGCATCTGCTCCTGGTGAGGCCTTAGGAAGCTTCCAATCATGGTGGAAAGTGGAAAGGACCCAGTGTATCACACGGCAAAAGGAAGCAAGGGAGAAGAGGAGGTGCCAGGCTCCTTTAAACACACCAGCTCTTTCTTGAACTAACGGATTTAGAACACTCATTACCTCGAGGACAGCACCAAACCATTCATGAGGGAATCAACCCTGTGGTCCAAACACTTCCCACTAGTCCCATCTCCTACAATGAGAATCACATTTCCACATGGGATTTGGAGGGGATGAACATCCAAACCATATCCTATGTCAGTAACATTTCCTGAACTTCAGTAAACAACAGAACTGATTGCTGTCCTCTGCTACTCAGGTCACTGTGGGACCGACCAGGGATATTAAAAGGAGGGAGGATCCTGATGGAAAATGCAGCAGAACATCAATGCTTATGAATAGACATCCGATTTCCTCCCCTACCAAGTGTGTGGGACCTCTCTGTAGATAGCCTTCCCCCTCACTCCCGGAGGCTGTGGGAGCCTCTGCTTGGTGTCCAGCCCCATGCTATGCCCTGAGGTGGTCTTGGAAGTCTTTTCTGCCAGGAGTTCACAGCTAGTTTCGGAGGTAAGGCACAAACCAGGTGGAGACAGGTATAGGAGCAGAATGGGGCAGCAGGAGGGTGTGGGGTCAGGGTGGGGAGGTCACAGAGGCTGACTCCTGAATGCAATTGCAGAGACTCGAGATTTACATCAAATTTCCAAAGCTTCTTCAGACTGTAAGCTTCTGCACAAGGTGAGGGGAGAATTCCAGGCAGAGAAAACAGCAAGTGGAAAAGTGAAAAGGCAGTGTGTGTGTACATATGTGTGTGCATGTGTGCCTGTGCATTGTGTGTGTGAGAGCACGTGTGCATGTGGGCCTGTGTGCACACTAGCATGTGTGTGTGTGTGTCCATGAGTGAACCGATGAAGTTTCTGGACAGTGACGTGAGGGAGGTGGGTAGGAGGAGGGAGGAGGTGAGAGGAGAAGGAGCTGGTGAGGGAGGTGAGGTCCAGGCTGTGAAGGCCTTGAATTTCCCTGGATGTGGCAGGAGGCCCATGAAGGGTTTAGGTAAGGGCTAGTGTGATCATTTCTCTTTTAGAAAAACAATCCTGGCAGCTGGAGGCAGAGCACAGTGACTCACACCTGCAATGCCAGCACTTTGGGAGGCCGAGGTGGGCGGGTCACCTGAGGTCAGGAGTTCGAGACCAGCCTGACCAACATGGTGAAACCCCATCTCTACTAAAAATACAAAAATTAGCCGGGCATGGTGGTGGGAACCTGTAATCCCAGCTACTTGGGAAGCTGAGGCAGGAGAATTGCTTGAATCCAGGAGGCAGAGGTTGCAGTGAGCTGAGATCGCGCCATTGCACTCTAGCCTGGGCAACGGGAGCAAAAATAGTCTAAAAAAAAAAAAGAAAAGAATAGATTATGAGGTGAGGCCAGAGGCAGGGCCACTCACTAGCAGGTTGTTGGAAGAAGCCAGAAGAGGGGGTAGCAGGAGCCCCATCAAGGCTGCGGCGCTATGGATATGGACAGAGGATGGCTGGAATGGCCATGGCCTGGTGACCGATCGACTGGTGTGTGAGGAGAGGGCCTCTGGGGAGAAAAGAGTCCAGGGCCACTCCAGGGTATCTAGCCTGCTGGCGGGGAGGTACGAGTGGGGACACTAACCAGGATGGGGCCCCTGGAGGAGACCTAGTCCCAGGGCGGGGTGGGGATGATTTGCAGCTCTGGGTGGGTGGGAGAGGTGGGATCACTGCATGGTATTAGGTGTCCTGTTCTGGGCCTGACCCAGGTTTGCTTGGTAAAGTCTACTTCTGGGCTCTTTTCTCTACCCCTTTTCCTTTCTGCTTCCATTCCCTTCCTCCCTGGTATAGTTTCCCAGTCTCCTCCCTTCCCCTTCAGCAGCGATCTCAAGATAAACAGCTGGGGGAGAGGAGCTGTGGAAACGTCCAATCAGGGAAGGTTATTAATCCAGGATTCTAATTATGGTGTCGCCCTGTGTCTCTTGCATGGTAACAAGCCAGCCTCAACTGCTTAAGCTAAGAAAAATCTCAGTGTTTCCTTCAAGCTGCATGGTGGACAGATTCCTGCCAGACCCTTCAGAGCAAGCACCCCGCACCCCTGGCCCAGGGTCTGTTCCCTAATAGGGGGTGATCTGTCTGCCCCTCACTGTTTTCTCCAAATAGGTAAGACTGGTGTGGCCAAGCACGTGATTGGCAGTGAAGTGCACATCAACACAGCAGCCCTGGCTTTCAGCAGCCAAGGTCAGCTGTTGAGCCAATGCATTTTATTTATCTGCCTAACTGCCACCATGACCTCTTCTGGGAGCCCTGGGCTGGGGCATTGCCCTCACCTCTGGTGTGGAGGAAGGAGCCCTGGCCCAGGGAATCTTTCTTTGAGCAACTGTTCTGTGCACGGCTCTGGGCTCAGTGCTGAGGGCGCACCATGGATCAGACAGAGGCTCACGGACCTCAGCCATTTCTTTGACATGAGGTTATTGCAGCTCAGAGGAGAGGCTGTTGACCTTGACCACATGTGTCTTTGTGAGTGGAGTGGGGAAGGTTCGGAAAGGTTGCTTCTTGTTATTGCTCATTTCTAAGTTGCTTCCAAAGCCCCCGTTGGGCTTCTCAGCTCTCTCAAGAAGAAGGCAGAAGAGAGTCAGAGAGAGATGGGACAATGGAAGCACAGGTTGGAGGGATGTGATTGCTGGCTTGAAGACGGAGAAAGGGCCATGAGCCAAGGAATTCAGGCGGCCTCAAGATGCTGAAAAAGGCAACAGAACAGATTCTCCCCTAGAGCCTCCAGAAGGAGCACAGCCCCGCCAACACCTCATTTTTAGTTCAATGAAACTCATTCAGACTTCCGATCTCCAGAACTGTAAGATACTAGGTTTGTGTTGTGTTCAGCCACTAAGTTTATGGTACTTTGTTATAGCAGCAACTGGAATCTAATGTCAGGGGCCAGATTTCAAGATGCTGTAAGCCATGTCAAGAGGTTTGGATTTTGTTCTGTAGGGCTCAAGGCTTATCACTACTTAAGAGTCTGTGTATGTTAAGCATATAAGCTTAGATTATGAGGGTTTGAATACCACCTTGGCCACTAACCAGCTTTCTCAAAGCTGCAGCATTTTCAGCTCTAAAAGTGGGGAATCATGTTTCTCATCTCATTGGGCTAGCATAAGGATTAAATGAGATGATGCATGTAAGGTGTTTAGCCCAGTGTAGGCCAGAAAAGTGACTGTCACTTTTACTTGCTTGGCAACCTTAGGTGACCTAATGCCTCATTTGGTGGCTTTGATCATGACATGTGCCCAGAGAAGGTATAGCAACCCCCCTCCAACCCCCTTACCCCCAGGAATAAGTGAATTTTGTTATATGATTGTATTAGTCTGTTTTCACACTGCTGGTAAAGACATACCCAAGACTGAGTATGTTTCCCCTTATAAAACCCTCAGATCTCGTAAGACTTATTCACTACCACGAGAACAGTGTGGGTGAAAAAGCCCTCATGATTCAATTATCTCCCACCGGGTCCCGCCCACAACATGTGGGAATTATGGGAGCTACAATTCAAGATGAGATTTGGGTGGGAACACAGCCAAACTATATCAATGATGAACTGGAACACAATTGAAAGGTGTGCCCCTACTGGCCTGTCTGCCCACCCATGGGGGGAGCAGATGCCTGTTCACCCTGCTCACCTAACCCCTGCTTCCCTCAGCTCCCCACAGGCATGCCTGCATTCCTGTGCCCCTTATGGGCTGTATTCATTTCTGGCCCCTGCACTATGCTCCAGGCATAAGTTATTTTAGTTACAAATTCCTTGAAATGCTACACCTTCCCTGCCCACCCGGACAGAGACCTCCCCAGGCCCAGCTGTCAAGTATCGATTTCGCCTTTAAATATTACTGCAGCCCAGGAGCATGTATGGATTAATTGACGAGGTTAGGCTTGTACCTGCACACTTCATTAACAGCTGCTACTAATTAGTGGAGTAGTCATTAAGAGACCTACTGGGGTTTTGAGGATAATAGTTTTATTTATTTTTTTCCATGACTCTTAAGCATACAATAAATTGGGGAGTGAAACGCCATGGGCCCAGGTTTGGATGGGAGTCACGGGGTAGCCTGTGCTCTGGATCTGCCCTAAGAACACAACAGAAACTAGGACATCACCACAGTGGGACCCAGAGTTAAGAGGCCCTTCAGATCATCTGGTCTACTATATGTGGCTACTGTGGCTGGGACTGGGACAGGGGCAGGGCCTCATTCTCAACGTCACACAGGGACAGGGAAGCAGAGCTGGGATGAGCACCCAGGGCTGCTGGCCTTGCTGCTGGCCAGGGCTCTGTTTGCTAAATGGGGACTCTGCTGGATATATTTGGAGAGCCCAATGTGGGAGGAGAGACCAAGCTCATGGCCACGTCCTCTGCCTGCCCCAATCTTACCCTCTTTTCCCAAGAGGGTGTTGCCCTTCTTTTGCTGTTTCTGGGCATCCTCCTATCCCATCCACATCATTCCACCCTTCCCACTCCCACTGGAGTCCTGCTATACCTTGCTCCTGGAACCCCTTTCTCTGTCCTTAGCATCTCCAAATGGACTGGACTCCGCAAGCAAGCACTCTGCAGTGGACCCCTTGGGTCATCCATTCTGATGGAAACAGTGAGTGGGATTAATCCTAAGTCTGTGAATTTGGGCAGCTCATTGACTCTCTCAGCTTTAACTTCACCGGCTCAAGGTGAGGCTGAATGCACAGTAGTAAAGGGGACCAAGCATGGGGATGGTATGGAGAGAGTGGGTCCTCAGCAGATGGCAGTGCCTATGCCCCTGTGCTACTTAAGGAGGTGGTCTGTGAGCAAACCATCGTGCTCTCCTCAGGCTGACCTGGACCATTCACTGAGCACACATTGAGAGATTTTACAGGAAAGGAATGGAGCCTTGACTTATTATTTCCTTCTTGTTTTACAGAGAATGACAGTAATTCGCATCACTAACTTTCCCTGAAAGCTTACTAGGTGTCAGGAAGTGCTGTTCTAAAAGGGCTTCACATGTATTCATTCATTTCATCCTCCTGACAATCCTGCGATACAGGTGTTTTTGTTATGAGTCCTATTTCAAAAAAGCAGCAGCAAATACAGCAAGATGCCCATGGCTACACAGCGTGTCAGTGGTGGATATGAACCTGGCATTCTAGCTCACTGTCTAGACCTCTTAGAGAGGTCGATTTCCTGGCTAAGGGAAACCCCTGTCCCCCAGTGTGTGCTGTGTGGGTGGCAGCTGTGTTGGTGCCACAGGTCTGTGTCCTCTGGACACCTGCTGATTTATCCAGGGTGGACACTTGAAGCAGAGACTGTCCACACTATATAATTTGAGTGATCTGGCTCAAAAGTGCGGGCTGGGCCAATTTGAGTTCCATCTGGGGAAAGGTATGGAAGAAGCTGAGTCTGGAGGTGGGGAGAGTTGATGAGCTTGACTTAGGGCTGGAGACTCATCATGATAACCAGCTATGAGTGATTGGAGGAAGCCAGCTGGCTGAGAAAGGAGACAGAAAGGTAAATGAATGCCTGGAGAGAGACCTCAGTCCTGGAAGGGCAGCTTTCCCCAACAGTCTCAGGGTGCTGGCTCCCATGGAGTCAGGCTGCTCCTGGCCTCCTGTTTAGGTATTCTGGTGAGGATGTGCTTTACGTCGAACTACAGATGCGCCTTGATTTGCGATGGGGCCGTGTCCTAATAAACCCATGGTAAGCTGAAAATACTGTAAGTCAAAAATGCACTTTTGGGCTGCGCACAGTGGCTCATGCCTATAATCCCAGCACTTTGGGAGGCCGAGTCAGGTAGATCACTTGAGTCCACATGGTGAAGCCCCGTCTCTACAAAAAATACAAAAATTAGCTGGGTGTAATGGTGTATACCTATAGTCCCAGCTACTCAGGGGGCTGAGGCGGGAGGATCGCTTGAACCCGGGAGGTGGAAGTTGCAGTGAGCCGAGACATGCCTCTGCACTTCAGCCTTGGTGACAAAGTGAAACCCTATCTCAAAAAAAAAAAAAAAAAGCACTTTTTATTTAAGATATTTTCGACTTTTGATGGGTTTATTGGGATGTAGACCCATTGTAAGTTCAAGAGAAGACTGAATGTGTATTGCTTTTGCACCATTGTAAAGTCAAAAAATCCCAAGTGGAACCATCATAAGTTGGGGACTGTCTGTAATTTCTCTTTTTGAGTTTCTCTGATTGAACTAGCAGCCTCTCTCTTCCTTAGAAACAGAAGAACTCTAATGCGAACAATTATCTTATCAGCTCTATAGCATAGCACCAATGTGAGGTGGAGCTCAACCCCATCTATCAAGCAAGGCTTCTGCAAAAGAACAATATCCTTTTTTAAAAATTTGTTTCAATTTTTTTTTTTTTTGAGACAGTCTCGCTCTGTCATCCAGGCTGGAGTGCAGTGGCATGATCTCAGCTCACTGCAACCTCTGCCTCCTGGGTTCAAGCGATTCTTGTGCCTCAGCCTTCTGAGTAGCTTGGACTATGGGCGTGTGCGACCATGCCTGGCTGAATTTTGTATTTTTAGTAGAAACAGGGTTTTGCCATGTTGGCCAGGCTGGCCTCTAACTCCTGACCTGAAGCAATCTGTCTGCCTTAGCTTCCCAAAGTGCTGGGATTGCAGATGGGAGCCACCAGACCCGGCCCACAATATTCTTAAATATAATTGGGATAGATGGGTAAAGTACTCTGGACACAGTGCCCAGCTGGACATAAACATCTGTACTAGTCAGGGTAAGGATAAGGTAAGTGGCTTATGGAGGATTGAAGTTTCTTTCTTTCTCACTGCACAGTTCTGAAATGAATGGTCTGGGTTGGCAGGGCAGCGCTGAGCCTCACAGCCATCCAGGGATTGGGGTCCACCAAGCCACTGCCCCACCATCCCTGAGACCCTTGGTGTAATCTCAGTGTTGGAGCAGGGAGGTGCCATACTTGGTTCTGCCACAGCTGGAAGAAAGCATGGAGGGGCACCTGATGTCCCAAGTCATCTCTACTCCCCTTCCGCTGGTGAGCACTTAGGACATGGTCTCACCTAGTTGCAAGGGAGCCTGGGAAGTGTAGTCTTTACCAGGGTTGGCAAATGCTTTCTGTAAAGGGCTGGATTGGAAATAGTTCCAGTTTTGCGGGGCCATACACTCTCCATT